GCAAAATTTCATTGAAATTGGTTCAGGGGTTTTGGAGAAGAAGATTTTTGAAATTTTAGTCAATTTGACCCTTTTTGGCCCCGCCCCTCAGGCCCCTGGGGGCTTAGGACTAAACCGGCAACTATTTTTGTTGACCTTTGTCCATGGAAGGTCCCTGCAAAATTTCATTGAAATTGGTTCAGGGATTTTGGAGAAGAAGTCGAAAATGTAAATTGTTTACGGACGCACAATGGACGACGGACGACGACGGACAAAAGGCGATCGCAATAGGTCACTTGAGACTTTGTCTCAGGTGACCTAAAAATGCGTAATCTGCACCTATCAAAATCTTTCTCTTCGACGGATGGGTTTGAGTTTTAGTGATAATTATTGGACTACATGACTGTCATGTACTATAAACAGCTAATCAGAAGACAAGTAACACCAAAGTCTCTTGTCATGTGTACACAACAACCAGGAACTAGGTTTTATTTGGTCGCATGCACACCAAAACGGTACGAAAAGATTTAACAGTAATTTTCATGAATAATTTTGGAACAAAGTATGACAAGCTTTAACATGCACTGGGATCATTTTTTTACCACAGTAGTAAACAGAATATTGAAGAACTTTCATGCAAGAAAATAAATGTATGACTAATGATAAAACAAAAATTTCAAGATCAAACTCCAACTGTCAGTTTTCATTCTAACTACATTCTGTACTAGGCAACTGAATGGATTGCACATGAGAATGCAGTTTTTCTAATGGCCAATATAGTGAAGACTTCAGTTTTGTTTATTGGGAAGTGATAACAACTTTCATTCTCCTACTAAGTGTACCAAATACTTTCACAAATGGCATTTTGTAACGAGACATTGGTATAAAAAAAATCCTAGCAGCAATCCTTCTGGGTTAAATCAATAGAAGACATCAGATATTAAACAAATAAATTTAACAGTGCTTGGCATTTCATTTATAACAAACGTATTGATCTAAAAGCTATACTTCTATTTATTAATTTTATTTCCTAAACCAATTTTAATGTAGCTTGGAATGTTTCTTATCCAAGAAATCTTTGAAATATGGTCCAAATAAATGATATTGTTGTAAAGTTGGAGAGTGAATGCCAAGCCCTGTAACACGTAATGCAGATCTGTTGTCAGTATATTGAAATGTCCATGAATGACCGTACTTGGACTTGTGTTTAAAGCAGGCTCACGTTCTATGGTGCCTATGTATTTCTCTGGACGGACATGTGTGAAGTTGACACTGCCTTTGGGCAGATATTTGATGCGAATGCCCATCAGTCGATCCGGAGCAGATAGGTCCTGTAAGAAAAAACATAAAAGCGAAGCTATATCTATACATTGTCTTGGCAGAATATATATTACAAATGAAATACAGTTGTATGCCAATGTCCAATACACCACAAACAAGAGGCCCATGGGCCTTAACGGTCACCTGAGTCTATAGTATTTATTTTTGTTGTTGAAATATGTACCAATTTGAGTAAAAAATAGTATAATGTTAACTTAACTTTGTCAGGACCATGAGCTGATCATTCCTAGACCAATTTTAAGTGAGATCGGCCTATTAGAACTTAGTAGCAAAATAGC